GCCCTGTAAGCAGGGCAGGGCTTTTCTCAACCCCCAGCCCGCCCTGTAAGCAGGGCAGGGCTTTTCTCGTCCCCCAGCCCGCCCTGTAAGCAGGGCAGGGCTTTTCCCAACCCCCAGCCCGCCCTGTAAGCAGGGCAGGGCTTTTCCCGACCCCCAGCCCGCCCTGTAAGCAGGGCAGGGCTTTTCCCCCTGGCACCTTTGTGCCTGCTTATGGCCCCTGGCCAGAGTGACCCCCTGTAGCTGGGGCGTGTCACGGCCTTGGTCCCTGGGCCACCTGTGAAGCCCCTCAGTGTGCTGAGGCCCCTCTGGCCTCTGCAGAGCCCGGGGCAGGGCTGAGGCTCTGCTCTCCTGCCCAGAGGGAGGGATGCCTCCCCACACGTTGGCTGCACAGAGCCTGCTCCCTCTTCTGGGACGTTCCCCCTTTGTGTTTTTGTCTTTGTCGGTGTGAGTGAGCAAGGGAGCCTGTGCTTTGTCCCCCATAGCAAAAACGAGGCTAGTGTAGCTTAGACTTCCCAGGAGGGAAAGAGGGGCTCTGTGCAGCAACCGGGGGGTGCCCTCTGAACCCACGGGTGGAGACAGGGCCCAGCCTTGCCCCTTCTTCCCCAGGACAGAGCGAAGCCCGTTAGTGGTGGTGCAGGCACCGTGACCCGCCTGTAGCCAGGGCCTGGGCGTGTGCCTGCGCTGCGGGGCTGCCTGTCCTGCTGGTGATGTGCCAGCGTGATCCCCCCCCCGGCCTTAGGCCGTCAGGCCACTGTTGGGAGTGCCGGGCCTCGGGGGCGGCCCTGTAAGTGGGGCTTTGTGCGTCCCCCGTGCCCGGCGGGCGGTTGGAGGGACCCCCTGTAACCAGGCGGGTGTCCCGTGGGGTCCCCACCCTTTCACAGGCGTGGGGCTGGGCGTGTGCCCTGCCTGTCCTCGGGGGAAGGCCGAGCTCCGTGGCTCCCTGGGTGTGGACCCGCCTGTAAGCAGGGTCCGGGTCTGGGAGCCTTTGTGCTCCCTCAGCTGGCAGCCTGTGCGGGGCGACCGCCCCGTTAGCGGGGAGCGGGTCAGGTGCCCCCGAAGCGGAGAGAAGGAGCCTCCGCAGGCCTTTGGGCCCAGGGCTGCCCTGTAAGTCGGGGCCAGTGCCCTGGAGTCCCGGGCACTTTGCGCTCCAGGCAGCGGCCGGAGCCCCCTGTAAGCAGGGGTGCAGCCTCTTTGGCCACTGCCTTGCATGCCCAGCTGCCTTTGCCCAGAGGGCCCGGCTCCCAGCAGCGGATGGACTGCGTCGCCCTGGTGAGACCAAGTGAAGTTTGGAGGGGTTTATGGAGCTGGGGGGTCCTGTGGGCGGGTGGGGAGGGGCTTGGAGATGTGCTGCCGGGGCCGTGGGGTCATTGTTGCCTTCGTACGGAGGAGCTGGTGTTTCTCGGGCCCACATGTGTTGTCCCGCCCTCGCAGAAGCCGTCGGAGGAGAGGGCAGAAGAGGCGTCGTGTGGGACTGTAGCGCTTATGCGGGAAAACGACACAGTGGGAGAAGCTGGAGTGTTGCGTGAAAGTGTGAGAGTCATGCGAGTCGGCGGGCAGGTGGTGGCTGGGGCAGCTGCCTCTAGGTCCTGCTCTCCTTCCGCGTAAGGACTCAGAGCTTCTGAGTCCGAGCTGCGTCCTCTTGCCTTGGCAGGAGCCCTCCGCGAAGAAAGCAGAGCTGTGGAGTGGGACAGCGAGGTCAGAGCGAGGAAGAAGAGCGTCAGCTCCGCCCTCAAGAGGGGACGGGAGAAAGGCCCTCTGGGCAAAGGCCCCTCCCTGCCATCCCCGGGGCGGGGATCCCTAAGAGTCCGGCGGGCAGCTTCCGGTTGCGCCGGGCTTGGCGCTGGGCGACCTGCCTGTAAGCAAGGCTGGGTCCTTGGCGTTGGCCTTTGGCCATGGCGCTCCTGTGGCTGCCCGGAGAGAGGGGCAACCGCCCTGTAAGGAGGGTCAGAGTCCCTGTCTCTGCACCCGAGGGGGGAAACGCAGCTCTCCCGACCCCCCGCCGTGGCAGCGTGGGGCTGGGGCCCTGTCCCCCCAGCGGCCTTAGGCCGCGAGGCTTTTGGTGGGTGTGCCGGGCCTCGGGGGGGTGGCTCCGTAAGTGGGGCTTTGTGTGTCCCCCCCTGCTCTGCGGGCGGTTGGAAGAACCCCTTCTAATCAGGCAGGTGTCTCGCGGGGTCTCCCGCACTCCAGCGCCACTCCCACTGTGGATTCGAACACAAGGACCACACACAATTTCCACTCAAACCAGGGCGGTGCTGAGGTCCGTTCCCGGGAGCCTCAGGAGCGCCCGAAGGGGCGGGTCGTCAGCAACCCCCAGCGGCGGCGTGCAGCGCGGGGAGCGGCTGCGCGGGGCGGGGGCGGGTCCCGCGGCTGCGACGGGGCGGGGAAGGGACCCCCGGGCCGGCCCCGTCCGGCACCGCCGCTGATACTGCTCTGCCACTGCCCTTTGCCCACTATATTAACATTATAAATCCAGAATTTAATCCAGAGCACCACAAGCTCCCAAGTGCGGGAGATTTCCAGTCTTGTTATTTTCTCTTTTTAACTCAGAACGTGTTCATGCCTTATGCGACCACCCCAGTTCTGTCCCATCCACCTGAGCTGGGCGGGTGAGGCCAAAGCTCCCCTTCCTTCTGGGGAATCATTGTCCAAGCACATGGATGCTCATTCTGGGCAGGACCTGCAACCAACCTGGAAAGGGCAAAAGGAAAATGGTGTCTCCTGTTAGAAAAGTAATGTCTATAAACATAAATTTTGGACCAGTGATGCAGCCACTGAACGAGGGGAAAAGCTTAGAGAAACTGAGCAGTACTTCTATTACACACAATAATGAAAACCAATAAATGCTAAAATGGACTTTATTGAGCTGCAACACCAGGACAGTCACAGGAGGTAAAGGCGAGAGGAACACCAAAGCAGCACCTGGGGGTCTGGTTGGAGGAACACAATCTTACCAAATTATGAGCCAGGGCAGGGCATTTGGGACAACCCTTGCTGACTGGAAAGGATTCAGGCTCCAGGGCTCAGTCTGCAGCTGGCAGTCGATCCATTACCAACCACCTCACCCATTCTGTCCAAAAGACCACCTCTTTCCCCTCTACGTTGCCTCCCACCTTCCTACATAAAACAGTGCCTATGTCCCCTCTAAATTACTCCAGGTTTTCAGCTAAAAGGGTCACCTCTGTCCCCACTAAGTTACCTCCAGTTTTCTGTCCAAAATGCTGCCACAGTCTTGTCTGAATTCCCAACCTTTCTCTCAGAAAGGCTCCTCTTTTTTCAAGATACCCACGGATTCACCCCACAATAAAGGTGATTTTGTTTCATCCAAATTACCTTAGCGTTTCTGTGAAAAATGTCACCTCTGCTCCCCCTGCGTATTTGTCTCTGCTTTTCCCTCAGAAACCTTCCTTCCAATCCCTGTACAGAGGGCAGGCTGGACCCCTAAACCTCCCCTGACTAGCTCAGGTTTTACCCCAAACCTCCCCTGACTAGCTCAGGTTTTACCCCAAAATTGTCCCTTCCTGTCCTGCTCAGAGAACCTCAATTCCCCGCCCTTCCCCCCGAATGTCTCTCACTAAATTGCCTCGGTTTTACCTCAAAATGTTAATTTTATGTCCCCGGGATAGACGGAAGACCCCAACTCCCCGCTGCCCCGGGAACCGGCCCGGCTGCTCCTTCCCTACTCCGTGCCGCCCGACCGGCCGCCCCCCGCGGGGCTGCCCCGCGCCCCGCCGGGCCACTGCCCGCTCCCCGCTGCCGTCCCCCACTGCCCGCTCCCCGTTCCCGTCCCCCACTGCCCGCTTCCGCTCTCCGTCCCTCGGTGCGGCCCCGGCGGGCACCGCGCATGCGCAGGTCCCTTGGCTGCAGGACCGCTACTTGATCAGCAGGCGGCACTGGAGAGCCATTCAAGTCCCTGCGCATGCGCACTCAACGTACTGGCACAGTTTAAACTGATGCCATCAAATTCTCCATCTCCCGAATCCAGGTTCTCCTTTGCCGTGCGGTTTTTGTCTATCCCACAGTCTGGAGGGACCTCTGGCAGCTGCACTGCCCAAGAGCTGCCGAGAGACTGCTGGGAAACTTCTGACCATCGGGTGGGAGGCAGAAATAAAGTAATTCATGGCAGCACCTCAAAACCTTGGGGGGAAAACCCCATAACATTCCATTGCCTTCCTTTTTAAACAAACACCAAACTTCTTAAATACAGCCACTAAACTGTACCCTACAACTGTTTTGCACTTTCCATATAACCAGTGCAAGTCAGTTTTAAATTACAATGCTGACTTTTTTTTAAGGTTTCAAGTGTGATACAAAAAACAGTGAGAAAAGAGATTCCCCCCACGGTTTTACTCTTAGGGAAGAGAAAACCAAACCCATTCCCAGTGCTGCAATACCTCAGGCTCCCAAAAAGCCCAGCGGATGCGCTGGAGGTTTTAGCTGCCCTGGAGCACAGGGAGGAACACCGCCCTCACGGGCACAGCTGAGAACGCAAAGAGCAGCGACACCATCGGCTCCTGGAAGCCCAGCTGTGCTGGGGCCTGGCGAGGAAGGGCACTGGCTTTTCTTCCTGCCTGAGAGCAAAAAGCCTTGGTGCTGATGACTTCTACAAAGTGCATCAGCTCTGAAGGGAAGCTCAGAATATTTAACCTCTCTGTATGAGAAAGATTTCTGTTTCTGGGAAAATCTTTTCCCAGCCAAACTCAGAATGTACACACAGGGTAAGGACGAGGCTGAAGCAATGAGAAATGAGAAACACGTTAGGACTCAATGGCACCAGTTCCAACGCTGCTGGCACTACTCAGGAAAGCCTGGCAACCCCTTGGAAGCGATGCTGATTTCTTCCATTTTGTCCCAGTCTCTTCCTGGACCTCAACTGCTTTTAGCACAGGTGCTGCTGTCTCAGTAAGGTCTTGGAGTACCACCGTAAGATATTTTAAAAACTTAGTGATTGAAAAGCATAAAGCTTTTATCATGGACGTCTGAACTCCCACAAACAGCAGCTCCAAGGGATTGACACAGGTCTACACTCATAAGCCTAATACTTCACCCTTATTTTCATGCCCTCCTCTGGGAGAAGCAGGACACAGCAGGGTGTGTAAGGTTTGGGCACTTAGTTACCTGCAGGTGGGCATGAATTTGATGGATGAGCAATGGGATGCTCCGAGGAGCTGACAGAAGCTTTGTACAGACGTGAGGTGCTTTGCAAAAAGCCATAACAGGCATTCCGTGCTCTCCCCAGGCTGGGGTTCCCCCCATCAGCCCAGACTGGTTCCCCCAAACTCGGCAGGCAGGTGCGGGTCAGTCGCCTCGATGAGGCCGCCATGTCCTTATGGGAGATGTCAGGGAGTGCCTTGTGGGCACCTCACAGCCACTGTCTTGTTTGAGGGGGCTTGGGGGGCCAGAGAGGTTTTAGAGGGCGTGGGGAGGGCCTTGGGGGTACTGATGGCATTTTCATGGGCGCTAGGAAGCAGTTGAAGGTGTTAAAGGGTGGACTACAGTGTGCTAAAATGGATTTGGGGGGTGCTGGGGAGGTTTGAGAGTGGTTTGAACGTGCTGGGATGGTTTGGCTGGTAGTATGGGGTGTGTTCTGGTACTTGAGGAGAGATCTGGGTGTGCCTCAGGGGGGCTAGAAGGTTCTAAAAGGATTTTAGGGTGTGCTGGGGAGGTTTGAGGGGAGCTTAGGGGTGCTGGATTCTTTTGAGTGGTGCTAGGAGAGGTTTGGGGATGCTCGTTGTGTTTTGAGGGTGCTGGGATAGCTTAGAGGGTGCTAAAGGGGGCTTGAGGGTGCTAAAAGAGTTTTGAGGTGTGCTGGGGTTTAAAAACAGGTTTGTGCATGCTGGGATGGTTTGAAAGGTGCTAGGAGGTGTGCTGGGGGTGCTAAAGAAGTTTCAGAGGGTGCTGGGATGTTTTCTGGGATTCTAGAAGGGGGTTTTGGGGTGCTAAGCAGGTTTTAGGGGGTGCTGGAGGGAGAGTTCCAGAGGGGGGGCTAGAGGTGCTAAAAGGCTTTTGGGAGGGCTGGGGTGGTTAGAGAGGGGTTGGGGGTGCTGGGATGGTTTGGAGGGTGCTAGGAGAGGGTTGAGGTGCTGATGTGGTTTTAAGGGGTGCTGGGAGAGATGCCTGGGGAACTTTAGGGGTCACCACAAGCATCTCATGTTTCCCGCCTTTTCCCCCTCACAGTTCCTGTCGTTTTTTACCTCCTATTTCCCACCCTTTCCCCTTCACAGTTCCCACCCTTTTCTCCCTCGTGTTTCCCACTTTTTCCCCCCTTAATTTAAAGCCTTGAAGTGGTATCAAAGGCGGTTTTCCCCTTGATTTAATCTTTAAAATAATAGAAAAATAGGTTTCCTCTTGATTTAAAGCCCTTTTCTCCTGAAAACCCCCTTTTTTCTGAAGTGTCTGGGCTGCACTGGGGAGAAACTGGAGGCACTCCCCCCCAAACATCCCCAGACCCCCTCAAAATCCCCCCTAACCCCCTCAAACTTCCCCAAACCCTCCCAAACTCCCTACTCAAAGCCCCAAAACCCCTCAAGCCCCAAGTCCCTCTTTAGCCTCCCCAAATCTCCACCAAAACTCCCATAACCTCCCAACCCCCCCAAATCCTCCTCAAAACCCCCTAAATCCCCCCAGATCCCCCACAAAATCATTCAACCACCCTGACTCCCCAGAGCCTCCCCATATCCACCTGAAACACCCCAGAATATCCTCCCAGATCCCCCTCAAACCCAATCTCCCCAAAGCTCTCCCGACCCCCCTAGACCACTCCAAATCCCCCAGACCCACAGTTTAGCCTCCCCACAACAATCCCCCCAAAATTCTTCCAAATCTCACCCAAAACCTGAAGACCACCCCAAAATCTCCCAGAGCCCCCATTTAGCCCCCACAAAATACCCTACAATGCTGCCTAAAACCCCCCAAATCCCCTCAAACCCCCTTCTTTAGCCCCATCAAATCCCTCCAAATACCTCAAACCCCTCCGAGTCCTACCCAAATCTGCCCCAAACCCCTGCCAAGACCCCATAAACTCTCCATCCCTCCTTTAGCCCCTCCAAAGGCCACAAAATCCCCCCAAGCCCCCACAACGCCCTCTAAATCCCCCAAGCACCCAAAACTCAAAAATCCTACCTAACCCCCCCAAAACAACCCAAAATCCTCCTTATACCTACGCAAAACTTCCCCAAACGTCTCAGGTTCTCCCAACTCCCCCATAGATCCTCTGCTCCCCCGACCACTCAGAAAGCCCCAAATGTATTGTGTGCCTTCCCTTTGCACCTGCTGTGCTGTTAAACCTGTGCTGGTAATGGGGTGTCCATACTGGGTTATACTGGTGTGTACTGGGGCAGATGGGGACACATGGGGCTCTCTGTGGTTCATTATGGGGCAACCATGAATTTGCACTGGTCCATACTGGTTTATACTGGTCTGTACTGGGGTAGATGGAGGGAACTTGGAGGTCTCTATGGGGCACTTGCAGGTCATTATGGGGCAGCCATGACTCCATACTGGTTTATACTGGTCCCAGGTGCTGCCCCTCACCCATGACCAGTTGCAGGTGCCGCTCGAGCAGGTGGGGTGAGACCCCCCCAACCCCCTCAGGGGTGTCCAGGTGACTGCAGCATCATCCCCCCCAGGTTACCCCAGGAGTGTCCAGGTGACCCTGAGGGACATCCAGATGTGCCCCAGGTGTTCCCAACCCCCGTCAGGTGCCCCCGAGGTGCGTCCACATGTGTGCAAGTGATGCCAACTCCCCCCAGGTGCTATCCCATGATGCCCCAGGGCACTGTGCGTGTCCCAGGTGTATCCCCTGGTGCCCCCAGGTAAAGGGGGCTCTGCCCCATCCCCATCACTGTCGAGTCCCTCCCCACTCAGGGGACCTCCAGGTAGGCGTGGCCAGGCTGAGCCCCACCCACACACCTGCAGGAGGTGCTAGAGGCCCTGCCCCCTCCCCCGAGTGACATCACTGGCAGCCAATAAATGCCCAGGACAGGCCAGAAGAAGGTGGGGTTTATTCCGGGCGGGGACGGAGCGAGACAGTGATTGGTCCGTAGGGACGAGGCTGGTCCAGGCGCACCCAATGGGCACCACAGAGCTCTGAGGGGGCGGGGCTTGGGGTTAGGGGGCAGGGCTTAGGGAGAGGGGTTGGGCCAATGGGTGTGGTTTGTGGGAAGGAGGCGGGGCTGGAGCTGTGGGGGAGGGGAGGGCCCTCAGGAAAGGGAGGAGTTTGGGACACAGAGGATGTGGCTTGTGGGAAGGGGGCAGAGCTTGGGGAGACGGGTTAGGGAAAGTGGGCATGGCTTCAAGGAAATGGGGTAGGAAAGGGGGTGTGGTTTGGGGAAAGGGTGGGGCTTGGGGAAAAGGGGCAGGTCCGGAAGGTGAGCAGGTGGGGAAGGGGCGGGGCTTAAAGCAAAAGGTGCTCAGAGCCAGGGCTGGGCTTCTGCAGAAAGGGCGGGGCTTGGGGAAGGAGCCCGGTGGGGAAAGGGGTGGGGTGGGGTTTGTGGGGAAAGGGGCGTGGTTTGGCAAAAGGGGGCATGTCCCTAAACTCACCGAGGCAGAGAGCAAAGATCTTTGCCACGCGTGCGCGGGATGCCCCCGGGGGCAGCATGGCCGTCAGCTCCGATCCCCCCGGGCGCTGGGCGTGCTCCAGGATCAGTCTGGGGACAGTCCGGATCCCACAGATCCCAATCCCCAAATTTTCCCCCTACTGCCCAAATTTCCCCATTTTTGCCCAGTTTTCCCCAAATGCTCCCTAATGCCACAGATCCCAATCCCACCCCACAGATCCCAATCCCAACTCACCTCCGAAGGTCGGGAGGAGCTTCAACCACCTCCGGAAGCTCCGGAAGCTCTGGGACAATGGGTGGGGCCGGGGGCCTGTGGGCAGTACTCAGGGGGTCAGTGTGACCCCACCCACTTCCCCCAACCCACACCTTCTGCCGTACCCCTCCCTCTTTCCCCAATCCCTGCCCCATTTCCTCTAGCTCTACCCCCTTTTCCCCAATCCTGCTCCCTTCCCAAGCCCCGCCCCTTTCTCAGGACACACCCCTTTCTCCCCTGGATGGTGCAAGACCTGCTCCCAAGCGAAAGCCCCGCCCCCAAACCAAGCTCCACCCCCAGTCCTGCACTGTCCATTAGCTGCACCTGGATTCACTACACCCCCAACAGACCAATCACCGCCCACCCAGAATAAGCCCCGCCCCTTTTCCAGGCCCTGCCGAGCATAATTGGCTGCTGGTGACATCCCTGCCCCAGCCACGCCCCACTCACAGTCTCTCCAGCGGCTCCTCCTCGAGGGGCTCCAGGGACACTTCTGGGGAGGGGAAGGGACTAAAAGTGATCCCCTGGCCCTGCCCTCAGGGTGCCCCATAGCGATACAACCCCACAGCAACCCCGCAACTGCGCCACAGTGACCCAACTGGCCCCGAGTGACCCCAAACTACCCCCAGCGACCCTTAATTGCCCCGTAGTGACCCCCAAACTGCCCAGCAGTGACCTCCAAGTGCCGCACAGCGACCCCACACTGCCCCATAGAACCCCCAAGTTCCCGAGAGCCACCCCCAATTCACCTGAGATCAGGGTGGGCAGACTCGGCTCCAGGGCCTCCCGAAGCACCTGGAGAGGGACAGGGGTGTGGGGTAGTGGGTCTATGGGGCGGGATTGGGGTCTACGGGGTAGATCTATGGGGCAGGATTGGGATCTACAGGGCCTCACCTCCAAGTCGCTGGGCAGCTCCGGGGGCGGGGCCGCAGGCGGGGCAGGGCGCTGGGCACAGCGTCCCCACAGCTCCCACAGCTCAGGGGGCAGCCAATCTGTGGGGCAGAGCAGGAGGTCACTCACTATGGGGCAGGAACCCCCACTATGGGGCAGGAATCCCCTGCTATGGGGTGGCTGTGGGGGTCTCACCGTGGGTGGGGGCGTTCAGGAGCTCACTTGGGGGGCGGCGGAACCTGTGGGGCGGCTCCAGCAGCACCTGTGGGGCAGAGACAGGATCTGTGTATTAATGTACTGGGCAGGGGGACCTCTGGACTAGATCTATGGGGAAGAGGGGTCTATGGGGCAGATCTATGGGGCAGGGAGGCATCCACCCATGTCAGAGTGGATCTATGGGTCGGGGGGATCTATGGGGGGATGTATGACGTAGGGGAACTATGGGGGAAATATGGGATCTATGGGTCAATCTATAGGGCGGATCTATGGGAAGACTTATGGGGCAGGGGGATCTATGGGGCAGGGAGGGATCTGTGGGCATAGGGCAGATATATGGAGCAGGAGAGATCTATGGGTCAGAACCCCCACACTCACCAGGGGCTGACAGTGGGCTTGGGGCTGGAGCAGCTGTGCCCGGAACAGCTTGGGGGAGATGTGGGGCACGAGGTCCATGTGGGGCGGGAGGCGACGACGGGGGATGCGGCGACGCACCGGGACCTCCGGAATGGGGGGAGGCAGGGCGGGCTCCTCCGGGGGTGGGGGACCTGCCCCAGAAGTGCTCACAGCCCCATAAGTACCCCACCAACCCCAAAAGCACCCCCACAGACCCATAAGTGTTCCCACTCTACAAACGCCCCCCAGAGCTACAAGTGCCTCCCCATCCCCACAAGTGCTCCCACCTCATAATTGCCCCCAGCCCCAAAAGTGCCCCCCCAGCCCCATTAAGTGCTCCCATCCCATAAGTGCCCCCCAAGTCTCACGGGGGATGGGGGGTGGCGCCGGCAGCTCCTCCAGTTCCTCCACTGTGGGCAGAGATCCTCAAATGAACCCACAGACCCCTAAGGGTCCTCCACCCCCTCTCCTGTCCCTCAAGTGGCCCCCCCGGCCCCACAAGTGACCCCAAGTGCCCACAATCCCCCAGCCCAACACCTGCCCCACAAGGGACCCCAAATGCCTCACAAGTGCCCATAGCAACCCCTAAGTGTCTCCCAACTCCTCCCAACCAACGCCCAAGTACCCCATGACCCCCAACTCCCCGCCTCCTGCTTGCCCCCAAGTGACTCCCCTGCCCCCCAAGCCCCCCCTGCCCCCCAAGTGCCCCCCTCACCCGGGGGCAGCAGCTCCTCGGCCTCAGCCTCGAGCAGCAGCTGCAGCTCTCTGGGGGTCACTTCAGGCAGCTCCTCCTGACCCCAGAGACCCAAAGATTACCTCTGGCCCCCCCAAAGACCCCCAGGGACCCCCCAGAGACCCACAGCAATCCCCAAGTGACCCCCAGCTGATGCCCAGGGAGCCCCAGGTGACAGCCAGGACCTCCCAGAACCCCAAACTGTGGCACCTCCAGGGGCGGCGGCAGCGGCGGAACTTCGGGTTCCCGCAGGGTGATGATCTCAGGGGACACCGTCACGGGGGGCCCTGGGGGCACAGACCAGCACTGACCAGTCCAGGGTGTGGAGCACTACAGACGGGCATTCACCCCCCAGAGCTCCTTGCACCCACCAGTACGGATCAGTGTGGACTAATGGGAATGAGAAGAGATCACTACAGACCAGTACCGACCAGTATAAACCAGTATGGACCACCCATATACAACCTCTATACCAGTCCTAGACCTCCCGAGCCCACCACCACAATCCAGTATGGACCAGAACAGACCAACAACCATCCCCCTTCCAGCCCTAACCCCACCTACACCCACCAGTATAAACCAGTACAGGCCAGTGCAGCACAGAGCTCACCTCGGGGGAACTCGATCTCAATGGGTGGGGGCAGGAGCTCCTCCACCTGTGGAGGAGGCACAGACCAGTATAAACCAGTATGAACCAATCTAAACTGGCCTGGGGTCACTATGGGGAAATCTGGGAACAATTTTGAGAAATCTGGGCAAAAATGGGGAATTTTGGGGAGAATTTGGGGAACTGGGGGCAAAGATGGGAAAGACTGGAGAGAAATTAGGCAAATTTAGGCAAAAATGAGGAAATTAGAGACAAAACGAGAAAATTACGGGGAAATTGATGAAATCTGAGGAAAACTGAGGCAGAAATGGGGAAATTCAGGGCAAATTCGAGGAATTTTTGGGCCAACTTGTGGAACTGAGGCACATTTGGAGGCATTTTGGGAAACTGGGGCAAAAATGGATAAATTAGAGTGAAAATGAGGAAATCTGGGAAAACTTATGAAATTTGAGGGAAACTGAGGAAAAATGGGGAAATTCTGCAGGGCAAATGGGGAAATTTGAGGCAAACTCAATGAAATTTTGGGCAAGTTCTAGGCAATTCTGGGCAGGAACCTGGCAACCAGGCCCTGCCCCAGAGCTCCTCCAATCAAACACTGTGGCTGTGGGAAGTGGCCACACCCACCCAGGACCAAAAATGGGGAAATTGTGGAAATTTGGGGTAAAGTGGGGTAAACATGGGGAAGTTGAGGGAAAATTGGGCAAATTTGGGAAAGTCTCGGGAAAATTTGAGGAAATTTGGGGAAATTGGGGAAATGTGGGGTCACCATGGGACTATGGGGGGGGCGGTACCTGAGGAAGCTCCACTCCCATCACCCCAAAAAAGGGGTCGGGGGCCAATTCCAGCTCCACCATCAGAGCCTGGGTATCAGGGAGCAGCTGGGTCCTGGGGGGAAAAAGGGGTTCAGAAGGTGCTTGGGGGAACTGGGGGGGTCGCAGGTGAGACCTCAAGGGAGTACCAGTGAGGCACAGGGGTTGGGGGGGCTTTGGAGGCAGGTTAGAGGCACCCTGAGGAAGTTTGGGAGGTCCCAGGGGTGTTTAGGGGTCCCAGAGGGGTTTGGGGATGTTCGAGGGTGTTTCTGGGGTATTTCAGGATGGATTTTTGGTGGTTTGTGTTGGTTTTTGAGGTTTGGGGGTGTTTTTTGCGGTGGTTTTTAGGGTAGTTTTGGGGTCTCTAGGTGTGTTTTTGGGGTGTTGTGGGATGTTTTGTTTGTTGGGTATTTTGGGGTGGTTTGGGTGTGCTTTGGGGTACTTTTGGACGTTTAGGGGGTGGCTTAGGGCTGTTTCGATCTGTTTTGAGGGCATTTGGGGGTGTTTTCAGGGGTGCTTAGGGCCGTTTGGGGGTGTTTGGGGGTATTTTGGGTTGTTTCGGGAGTCTCTGACCGGCGGGAGGGGCTCATGTCGATCTCCACCAGCGGGGGCCGCGCGCGGTGCAGCCGGTCCAGGATCTGCGAGGCATCCTCTGGGCGGGGGAGGAGCTGCGGCTGGAACGGGACCCCCAAACACCCCAAACACCTCCCAGGTTTCCCCCAACACCCACCCACCCCCCAGGATCCCCCAAACATCCCAACTTTCCCCCCCGGGAACTCCCCCAAAATCCCACTCGAGCCCCGCCCAGCCCGTACCGAGCAGGTTCCCGCACTGCCGCACGAACACCCGAACCAGCCCGAGCTGCAGCATCGCCGCCAGGTACAGCGAGCACCGGGGGGGCGGAGCTCCGGCCGGCGGGGGCGGGACCTCCCACCCGCTGCGACCATTCACGAACGACAGCACGGAGGCACTGGGAGGGGTTGGAGAACAAGGGCCAATGGGAGCGAGGCGGGCACGGGGGCCAGTGGGCGTTTTTGGAGTATTATGGTGGTGGTGGGGGGGGATTGGGAATATTTCGGGATATTTTGGCAGTAGGCTTGGGGCGGTTTGGGTGGGCAAGGGGGCGTCTTGGGGTGTCTCAAAGTTTTGAGGTTTTCCCGCCCGCCGCGACCAATCACGTTTGACATCACCGCGGCTTTGGGCGGGGCCAGAGAGCAGCCGGCCAATGGGAGAGGCAAGGGGCGGGGCCAGAGAGCAGCCGGCCAATGGGAGAGGCAAGGGGCGGGGCCAGAGAACAGCCGGCCAATGGGAGAGGCAAAAGGCGGGGCCAGAGAGCAGCCGGCCAATGGGAGAGGCAAGGGGCGGGGCCAGAGAACAGCCGGCCAATGGGAGAGGCAGGGGCGGGGCCAGGCGGGGAAGGGTGAGGTGATTGGCTGCCGGGCCCCCCTTACCAGGTGCGCGGCACGTCCACCCCCAGGTACTCCCGGCGCAGCAGCCGCGAGCTGTAGGTGGCGGCCAACCTGCGGGGAAGGGCCCGGAACGACCGAAAAAACAGTCGGGACCCACCCGAAACCACCCCAAACCCACCCGAAACCCCCCAAACCCGAGGCAGAACGGTCCGAAGCGCCCCCAAAACCACCCCTCCCCTACCAGATGGTGCCGAAACACCCCGTGTGACGCCGGAGCACCTCAGGGTAGTAGAACATGGCGGGGGGAAGGAAAACAGCGCTAAAAAATGCTCAAAAAAAAAAAAAAAAAAAAAAAAAAAAAAAAAAAAGAAACCTCCCAAAATTGGATAAAAATAAATTCGAATGGATTAAGGCGGTGTTCAAACGATGTTAAAAAAAAAGCAGAGGGTAAAAAGGCAGTTTAGGAGATAAAACGTCTCAAAAAAACACCTCCCAAATCTCTGAGATTAAAACGCACTAAATTTTAATATTAATAATTTAGGGTGATATTTAAGTTATGTTTTAAAAATGGAGGGTTAAATGGCACCTCAATGCCTCAAATCCCCCCAGAAATTAAAACAACCCACCTAAATTTGAATAAAGATAAATATTTAAATTATTTAAAGACGGGGGAGGGTGAAATGACAATCTTTGTTCTAAAATGCCTGAAAAGGCTCCAGAAAGTCCTCAAAACCCTAATGCAATAAAATAAAATTGACTATAATTTACTATACTTCAGTAATAAAGGAGATATATAAATTATTGAGATATTTAAGAAAGGGTTAAAAAGCGTTTTGGGCACCAAAATGCCTCAGGAAAGACCCAAAATGCTACAAAAACACCTCAAAAAGCCCCGGAAATTTAAATAAAACTGACTAAGATTTAATAAATAGAAATAAATTAAGGAAATATTTAAGCTATTTAAGAAAGGGGAGGACGAAAAGGCGATTTTGTCTTTGAAATACCTCAAAAACGCCTCTGAAAAGTCTCAAATCCCCATAGAAATCCCCCCAAGTTAATGCTGAATTAATATTAATAAATTAAAGCAGTGGTATTAAGAAACTGAGGGGTAAAGGTGCTTTGGCCACTGAAATGCCTCAAGAAAACACCAAAAAGCACCTAAAATGCTTGTTAAATAACTGCACTTTATCTAATTAATAAATATTTAAGTTTTAGGGTTAGTTGGTTTAATTAGGGTGGAACTTCAGGTAAAGTGTTTAAAATAGAAATTTGGCTCTGAAATGGGGCAAAAAAGCCCTGAAACCGCGTTTAAATGGAGCAAATTTAATCAGAATTAAAGAACCTGAGGCAAAAGTTACCTACAGCTGAAAAAATTTGAGGCAATTCACCTTAACTTGAGGAGAAACAGGGTTTAAAAGTGTTTTTAGCCCTAAGCCCCCTCAGAAAACACCCGAAACTCCTCAAAAAATACCCCAAAGCTCCGCCAAACACCCGCGATTAAAACTAATTAATCGACTAAAAAATTATTCCCTTAGGGGATTAAATTAAGGCAACAAATTAACTTAAATCAATAAATGGGCTCGAAAGCGGCCGCAAACCCTTCCGGATTTCCCCGACTAAGCCCCAAAACCGCCTCAAAACCCTCCGCGGCGCCAACTAACGCCTTAATTAATCCCTTAGTCAAACCCACGAGCTCCCGTTATTTAAATCTGCTAGTTAATTAATTAATCCACCACCACGCCTCTCCCACCGCCGCCGCCAGACTGGAGAAGCGCCCCCCCGCGGCGCTCCTTATATCACCCCGGTCGCTCCGCCCCTTTTCCGCCCGGCGGCCAATCAGCGCGACGCTCGCCTCAGCACACCCCGCCCTCTGCCAGAGCGGCGCCTTCGCGGGCTTTCGCTGCTCAGCCAATCAGCGCGCGGCTCCCCTTAGACACAGGACAGAGCCGGGAGCCGTAGCGGCGCTGACCAATCAGCGCCGTCTTTGCGGAGGCGCGCGAAGAGCTAAGCCAATGGAAGCGCCGCTCGCCTCACGCCGGCGGCCAATGAGAGTGCGGCGGCCGGGAAGAAGGAGGGGAGGGAAACAGCGACAAGTAGGGGCCAGGTGGAGAGATGGAGGGACCCGGGGGGACACCGCGCCATTTTTGGGGGCTCCAAAGCGCTTCAGGAGCTTCCGCGCTGCCTCCTCCCGCCCCCCCCGCCGCTTTCCCTCTTCACCAATCAGCGCGCGCCTTCACCACCACGTGACACGCTCGCCATATATGGGTTTTATTTGCATAAGGGGGCGAGACCGCCTCGGCACCGCCTCCAGCAGGCTCTGCCACGTGGGCTCATTTACATAAAGCGGCGTGGCCCCACCCCTTCGGCAGACTGCCGAATAAATAAATAAACTGGAGTTTATTTGCATAAAGGAGGGCGGGGTTTATCGGCACCCACGGGGGTCCCACCGCGACCCCCAAGGACACCCGGCTGCCCCACAGGGACCTTCAGGGGCTCCCCAAGGCCCCAGAACATCCCAGAGACCCATAGGTGCCCCATAGCGACCTCCAAACCGGAGAGTGGGACATGCTGCATCCAGCAGGGAGAACCGGAGAGCGGGATACACTGCACCCTGCAGGGAGCTCCTCCACTCTGCGGCCAGGGGAACCATTCCTACAGAGCCAGAGCTTCATTCTAGACAAGCCATCATAGAAGTAGAATTGCTGCCGGAGGAGGGGTTGTGGAAGGTTAAGTTTTATATAAAACCAAAGAAAAATAAACCTTTCGTACAAATAAATAACAAAATTCATGCAGCAGACAATTATGTTATTTATCTACAATAGTCAACAATACAAAGAAATAGATATAAAAGGTTTCTTGGTCAAAAGCTTACTACACATTTGGAACATCTGTCCCCCTGTCTCAAGAGTCATCAAATACACAGAAACTAAGCTTAAAGCTTTCTGGCTTTCAAGAGCTGCCATGATCATAAAACTGAAGAAAAAACCGCTCAAAACCAAAACTATTGAGTCTGTTCTCCAGAACAGATACTTGAATAAAACAAAGACTTATGAAAAAAAAAAAATTATGCTCCACCACCAAGCATATTTGCTATAGGGAGCATTGGGACAAAAAAAGAATGCAGCAGATGTTGAAATCCTTTCTTATGTTACCTGCATGATTTGGAAAAGTCTGTCTGTGGGAGGAGTGAGGTCAGCTTGCAGATACTGTTTAAGGAAACTGAAAGGGGGGGGAGGAATCTCATCAATGTGATCATTTTGTATTAACTGTACCGCAAATGACCAAGGACAATGCTCCTGAAGATGAAAGACAAACTCCTTCACCAGAGAGTGTCCTGAAGCCTGGACATCTTCAGGAAATAATTATACCCCTGGGTTTTAACTCCAACCCCAGCATTCTCAGTTGGCATTTCTCTGAGGGAGCGGGAGGCTCTCATGAAGATACTTCATGGTCCCGTGCTCTGAGAAGTCAGAAACAACATGATTGTCCCCCCTCAGCAACCACTTTGTAGTTAAGAGTCCTTCGATTCCCACTGGTCCACGTGCGTGGATACGAGAAGTACTAATTCCCACTTCAGCACCTGTAGGAAACACCCAAAATAAAAGTAGTTAATCTCCTGATGATGTTCACTTCATACTAAGCAGATTTACACCTTTATGTCAAAAAGCCGCCTGCCTTTCAGTGACCCGCCATTATCTGCTCCTCTCCAAACGCCAGAAGTTCTGTTTACCCAATATAAAAGTTAGAGGAGGTTAACTATTTCATTATAAATTGTAATGTTTATACTTCTGGCTGCTACAGAGTTACTTTCAGAAAGAAAGATGCAAGAGAGAGAGGTATCTCTTACATGGAACTTAGACTTGTTTCCTGAGAGTTTAATCCTTTAAAACAAAAAGACAATAGCTAAATTGGTCAAGATTATGAACTTACATCTTTTTTTATCACACTGAGGAGATATTGCAAGATCTTAACTAAAATTTCTGAATCACATGGAACACTGAATGTTCCAGATAACAGATTAACCGCCTGCAGTGGAGACTTCAGACTTTCTATCTCAGGAAAGAATGTTTCTCTTGTCTTCTGCAATTCAGAGAAGTGCACCTGTTTATTTAAGCAACTCATCCTCAGTTTGCTTCCTGCCCTTCATTCCTCAACACTGCAGGGTTGGCACACTGGACAGCAGCTCAGTCTGCCCAGTAGGACTGAAACATGTCATTCTTTACAGCATCATTGGGAAGGGAAACAAAAGGAAAACTGTTTACTAGTTTCACATCCTGGGTTGCACTGTTCTATCACCATATGCATGCAGCACACTTTACTCTGATTGAACAGAGCTTCAAAGGATTCAAACCAGCTTTGTGTGTCTAGGCTTCAGCTTTCGTACAGAACCTTTCCTGAAAACCTCTTATTAGACACTAAGAGACTAATCCTATCTTCCAGGGCTCGTACTGCCACACTTTTCACACACTCCAGCAAATTATGCAGTTGCATCCCTGCAATATTTTCTCTCTTACCAAGTCCAAATCTGTAGCCATCAGAGAATCGGGTACTGGCATTCCAGAAAACACAAGCGCTGTCGACATGCTGGAGGAAGAACTCTGCTGTTTCCTCTGGGAAAGTGGCAGAGACAAAAAAAAAAAATCCATTACCTACAGAATGGTCATGCACTCCAATAAATACAACACAAACCAGTGAACAGATGTAACAATACAACTTTCATGTGCAACCTTATCAGACAGTATTTAAACAGCTTGGGCTAAGCCATGCTCATTTATACCTCCTTCCCTGTATGCTTACCAAGTAGACACAACTGCAAATGTTAAAAGAAGCTTGTGAAGACTAGAAGAAAGCAAAAAAATGTCTAATTCTAAATCATCCAGCCTAGAACTTTCAAAGAGGGATTTAGTTGTACGACTGGGGAGAAAAAACAGCTGCCCCAAACCACGTCTGTCAGTCAAACTGTTAAACTAGAGTCAGGTCTCCATTAGTCTAAAACATGGAATTGTTCTAGATAATGAAAAATCCTAAACTCAATTGCTATTGCAGGTAATATTTGGGAACCACAACGTAGAAATTACCACATGCAAGTCTGTGAACTGCAGGTCAGTTGCCCTTAGTGACAAGACAAACATTTAGGATCAGCTCTATTTCCAGTACAGTCCCTACAAATCACCGGTGCACCAGCTCTCGTGGCAGTGGGTTATATGGTATCAAACACATGCCTTTTAGTGACACTCATTTAAGCTCAGCAGGAGGTTCAGGAACAGAAGCCTGCTTGACTCACACACTGTTCAGATGCAGATCAACGTGACCTTAGGCAGCTGATTTTCAGGAGTTCTGGCCTTGGTTTGGT